AAAGATGACCCTAACAGAGTCAGCTCATAGTACTGAGCTGTCAGTGGAAGCGGTTTGTGCCAATAAAGCTGCTTTAATTCCAGCCGAATTGAGCTAAACTGGGCTGAACTGCGAGCTGAGGATGTCTAGTTTGTGGTGTGCGGAGCTGCAGGTGTTGTGAGGCGGTTCACTGGTGACTCAGTGCGAAGGAAACACATACCAGACACATTGAATAATTCAGCAAAAACAGGTTGCTGCAACGCATTGTGCAAAGTAACAATTACAACTCTGCCCGAGGCCACTCTTTCAACATAAACACATTCTTCTTCTGAAACTTCCAGAGGGCCACGGTTCCTCAGCCCCGGCGACACGGCCGCATTGATCCAGCGGGCCAGGAGAAAATGGGCTCGTACCATTGCTGAGGCTGATAATCCCAGCCAGACAGAAGCTTCAGAGCGAAGACAAATACAATCTCTGTTTCCGGATAATTAGAGAGAGATTATCCAGTGTGATTGTCGACTTAAATTTCTCAGCAAAACAGAGCAGATTTGAGCTGGGCTGTTCTGTCTGCTGCGAAACATGTGTTCGAACACATAACCACACAGTAAACAAACCCTTTTAGCAGCAAATGAGCTCAGCGTGGTCAGGAAACGAGGTCGGAATCCGAAAACAACGTGTCAGAGGACCGAATACAGTTCAGTTCAGTCTTTTCACAGTGACATCATTAGTATATTAGTAAGGGTAATATCACCGATTTTTCTAAATTCCTCCATTATTCAGTGTGTGAGATGTGAACAGAGTGATTCAGAGTGGTTTGGAGTGAAATGGTTCAGATGTCTTTACAGTGGTGGTGATAGGAACCAGGGGTCGCCATGACTACAACACAGATATAGACATTTTATTAACTATCCAGAACCACCAGTGAACCTACACGAGTCTTCTGAGTTTATATGGAATGTTGATGATGGAAAATAGTGGAAAATCTGAAATAATAAGTTTTCTTTGGGGACTATTTTGCCTCACAGCGCCCTGCATATTATGTATCCCTCCACCATGAATGGAGTTTAAGGCCAAAATCTTCTCCAAACTATCATAAAACAGTGTCTCCGTCATCAGGCACTGAATTCATAACCATTTCATGTAGTAACTTTCTGTGAGGGAGCTTTTAGAGGTGGACGTCTGGTTCCTATCACCACCACTGTGAACGATTCTGACTCTGTAAGTTTCTCTAGAACGGAGCGTTTCACACCAAACCACTCTGAATGAGTCTGTTTACATCTTAACGGTTTAATTATACCTCAGATGTAGTCAGTCAGCCATGACATGTTTGTGTGGTGTACTTTGGCTACGAGGCTAATGTAGCTAACAACTAATGAAAGCTCATACCACAGTAATTAGCATTGTTTTAACTGCGTACATCGGCAGAAAGTTGCCTCAAACCATATGGAGGTGTTCAGTGTCTCTAATAGACTTGATTCTGAGGTTTCTGACTCTGTATGACTCACTGTTATCTATAAACATGGACTGAAGTACATTAGCATAGCTAAACACAGTAGTACTAATATACAGACTACACTCTTAAAAAAGACGGTTCTTCAAGGGTTCTTTAGTAAAGGGAATGGTTCTGTTTATATGTAACCAATTCGTGCTTAAATGGTTATTTGCATGGTGAAGTAGTTCTTCAGATTGAAGGAGAGTGTGTTCTATATAGTTCTTTATAGAACCTTTTAGAAAGTGGTTCTGTATGGCACCAACAAGGGTTCTTCTGTTATTACAATCTTGACATTGTAACAGTAGCACAACCTTTAGGTGCTATATTGAACCATTTTACATACACTCTTAAAAAAGGTGGTTCTTCAAGGGTTGTTTACTAAAGGGAATGGTTCTGTTTAGAACCATAGGTTCTATACAGAACCATTTCATGCTTAAATGGTTCTTTGCATGGAGAAGTGGTTCCTCGGATTGATGGAAAGTGTTTTGAATATGGTTCTATGTAGAACCTTTTTGAAAATGGTTCTATTTAGCACCAACAAGGGTTCTTCCGTTGTTACAATCTTGACGACGTAACAGTAGCACAACCTTTAGGTGCTGTATAGAACCATTTTACATACACTCTTAAAAAAGATGGTTCTTCAAGGGTTCTTTAGTAAAGAGAATGGTTGTATTTAGAACCATGGGTTCTATATAGAGCCATTTGCATACTTAAATGGTTCTTTGCATGGTGAAGTGGTTGTTCAGATTGATGGAGAATGTGTTCTATATGGTTCTTTATAGAACCTTGAACCTATACAGAACAGTAGTTCTGTATAGCACCAACAAGGGTTCTTCTGTTGTTACAATCTTGACATCGTAACAGTAGCACAACCTTTAGGTGCCATATAGAACCATTTTACATACACTCTTAAAAAAGATGGTTCTTCAAGGGTTGTTTACTAAAGGGAATGGTTCTGTTTAGAACCATGAGTTCTGTATGGAACCATTTTATGCTTAAATGGTTCTTTGCATGGTGAAATTGTTCTTCAGAATGATAGAGAGTGTATTGTATAGTCCTAGATAGAACCTTTTTGAAAATTATTCTGAATAGCACCAAAAAGGGTTCTTCCGTTGTTACAATCAACATCATAACAATAGCACAACCTTTTGATGCTATTTAGAACCATTTTACATACACTCTTAAAAAAGATGGTTCTTTAAGGGTAAAGAAAATGGTTCTATATAGAACCGTGAACAACCAAATAACCCTCGATTAAAGGGTTCTTCGCATCATGAGAGGGTTCTTCAGAGTGATAAAGAATATGCTGAAGATGGTTCTAAATAGAACCTTTTTTGAAAAGAGTTCTATGTAGCACCCAAAAGCTTTCTTCGATTGTTAGGATGTCAAGCTTGTAACAGTTGCAGAACCCTTTTTGGTACTTTATAGAACACTTTTCAAAAATGTTCAGTATAGAACCACATACAACTCCTCCATCAATCTGAAGAACCATTTCACCTTGCAAAGAACCCTTTAATCATGCAAAAAGTTCTATAGAACCATTCCCTTTACTGAGGAACCCCTGAAGAACCCTCTCTTCTTAGGAGTGCGTGTTTGAACTGAGTTGAGTGTTTTGTGGTTGTTTATTCCGGGACTGAGCTGAACTGTCCTCCTCTACAGTGCGGTTTCACTCACTTACATCAGACTGACGTCCCGTCTGTGCTTCTGATCTCGAAACCCCACAGCCGGCTTTAGTTTATGAACTCAGAACACTTCACACACTCAAACATCAACACGCGCTCTGCTTTTTAAAGTAGAATTACGTCATAGAACTTTTTAAACTTTAATGAGATTCACAAGTTTTACAAGTAAATGATTATAATAATGCATATAAATTAATACATACACAGATCAGACATAACATTCTGACCACCTCCTTGTTTCTACGCTCATTGTCCATTTTATCAGCTCCACTTACTATATAGGTGCACTTTGTAGTTCTACAGTTACAGACTGTAGTCCATCTGTTTCTCTGATACTTTGTTAGCCCCCTTTTACCCTGTTCTTCAGTGGTCAGGACCCCCATGGACCCTCACAGAGCAGGTACTATTTGGGTGGTGGATCATTCTCAGCACTGCAGTAACACTGACGTGGTGGTGGTGTGTTAGTGTGTGTTGCGCTGGTGCGAGTGGATCAGACACAGCAGTGCTGCTGGAGTTTTTAAACACCTCAGTGTCACTGCTGGACTGAGAATAGTCCATCAACCAAAAATATCCAGCCAACAGCGTCCTGTGGGCAGCGTCCTGTGACCACTGATGAAGGACTAGAGGATGACCAACACAAACTGTGAGCAGCAGATGAGCTATCGTCTCTGACTTTACATCTACGAGGTGGACTGACAAGGTAGGAGCATCTAATAGAGTGGACAGTGAGTGGACACAGTGTTTAAAAACTCCAGCAGCACTGCTGTGTCTGATCCACTCGGACCAGCACAACACACACTCACACACTACCACCATGTCAGTGTTACTGCAGTGCTGAGAATGATCCACCACCCAAATAGTACCTGCTCTGTGAGGGTCCATGGGGGTCCTGACCACTGAAGAACAGGGTAAAAGGGGGCTAACAAAGTATCAGAGAAACAGATGGACTACAGTCTGTAACTGTAGAACTACAAAGTGCACCTATATAGTAAGTGGAGCTGATAAAATGGACAATGAGCGCAGAAACAAGGAGGTGGTCATAATGTTATGCCTGACCGGTGTATGTTCTTCACAGAAAGGAATCTGAGGTTGAAATAATAATAAATTGCATTTTTTATTTTGGTAAACATTGAACATGGGTCCCACAGACCCCAACACCACAGAGGGTTAAGAGCAGTTAATTGTGTTTATTATTATTTCTCCCACCATTTCTGGCGAAAATGAATATAATCAGTGATCAGAATTACGGCGGTTATCAATATTGTTGTGATTTTGTTCAAATGTCCCGAAAATGTTTAAAAAGCACTGACACACATCGTTTACTTCCACTGTGACAGTCTGAACAGATGCTAATCCCACACAGTGATTGAAATGGTTTAAATCTGAAATGGTATTATAATGGAGTTTGGTGCGCAGCGTCAATCATTCAAATCATTGATCATCTCATCCCTGATCAGCCAGTAAGTTAAACCCCTTCCTTCTGGCTTACATGGTTCCAGGTTATATGGATCCAGTCCACCAGTGGAGCTGATCTTCTCGAGACTGCATCCAAAGTGTCCACATGTCTTTTCGTGTTTTTCCGTGGTCATTAGGGTCTATTTCGTTTGGTCTTCATCCACCTGCAGGACTGTAGCTGTAGTAACGGTGATGAAACAAGCTTAGTCAGAGCCACAGCTCATCTACCAGAATGGTTCTTAATGATGTAATCGACTACTATGAGTTGAGAGCTGTGAGGAGAATTTTGTTCAAAAAATCAGTTGATAATAATTCTCTCTCTCTCTCTCTCTCTCTCTCTCTCTCTCTCTCTCTCTCTCCCTCTCTCTCTCTCCCTCTCTCTCTCTCTGCAGAGTGCAGGTTTCAGTGCAGTAATGGTAAGTGTCTGCACCTGGTGTCTCTGATCTGTAACCAGCTGAATGACTGTGGAGATCTGAGTGATGAGCAGAGCTGCTCTACAGTCAGCCTTCAGCCAGCACTGAACCAGCCAGCTTTACACAGTGAGTGACACTGTCTGTACACTCTCCACAGTGTGTGTGTGGTTGTACACAAAGAGGTGCGTTCGGAGCTCTCGTAAAATCCACGATATACGCACACCGACCACCTCACAGCAGCTGAACTCTGTATCACTGCACCACGACATGAAAAACCCTTCTGCTGTTAATGGAATAATCTTTGGCTCTCATGCTGCTCACATGGAGCACCGAGTGAACTGATGAAGTAAGAACCTGTTTTTTGTTTAAACTGATGGGCTGACAACTTATGTTCTTAACTAGAACTGGGCTGGTCAGCCAGCTAACAGGCTAAAAGAGCCAACAGCCTAAACAGCTCCATCATTAATATCACAGGCTTGAATTAAAGCAGTTACAGTGTGATTTACTGTAAAACTGCAGTATAAAAGTCTAAAAATGTCACTTCAAATGTCTGAGTTTCAGTCAGAAGTCGTGTCAAACCCAGGTTGAATCCCAAACGGCTCTGTACTCCCTAAATAGTGTTCTAGCTATGGAAGTTTCGAAATTCTAGCCTCTACAGCCAAACAGTGTGGATGTGAGTCCTGAATCGCTGTTTCTTAGCTGTATTTTGCTCTGTTGGGCTGCAGGATCCAGTATTTAAACTCCTATGTAGTGCACTATGTAGGGAGCAGGGAGCCGTTTGAGATTCAGCCCCAGGGTGAGAAGAGGGCACCACTGGACTGGTGGTGATGTAGTGATCGAAAAGTACAAAGCGAAAGTTTTTGCATTAAACTGTGCTGGGTTATCATATGTTCATTGTTGTATGGCAAAAAGCAGTGTACAGCGATGGGCGACTGAACGTTCTCCTCAATCCATGGCTGCTTGGCTACGACACCATATGCTAAAGGACCTACATTTCTTGGCGGAATACTAATTTATGTCGATTATTATTAATAATAACTTTTTTCTGAAAAAAAAATTATTTTATCATAGTTTATGTTGGTAGTTGATCTGTTTTGCTGTAGAGAGCACTTTGCTGGCGTGGTTTGGGTCCCCTTGTCCCCTAACATTAGTGTATATACACATATATGTGTGGGTTGGTGTGTGTGAATAGAGCTCTCTCTCTCTCTCTCTCTCTCTCTCTCTCTCTGTCTCTCTGTCTTGCTGACAGACAGTAAACAGATGTTCTATATCACACAGCAGCCAAAACTGGCAAGTGAACTTTCCCCCTCTAATCTAGACTTCCTGGGTCACACACACACACACACACACACACACACACACACACACACACACACACATTCCCCTGTCTCTCATAAAGTCCAGCTCACCTCACACTGCTGTCTGTGCGACTCTCGGCTCCTTCAGACCTACACTAATGTGTTTGTTCAATTCAGTTCATTTCATTTGATTAAAGTCCATTTCAGTTCAGTTCATTTCAGTTTTGTTCTGTTTAATTCTGTTCATTTAAGTTCAAATCTGTTCTGTTCTGTTCAATTCTGTTCATTTCAGTTCAAGTTGGTTTAGTTCAGTTCAGTTCAGTTCAGTTGTGTTTAGTTCGGTTCAGTTTGGTTCTGTTCATTTTTTTAGTTAGTTTAATTTTATGCTGCACCAAAGGAAATTCCTTATTCTTGGTGAATAAAGATTCTGATTCACTTACATTTATTTCTGTTTTATTCCATTTAGTTCTGTTCAGTTCAGTTCAGTTCAGTCCTATTTAGTTCAGTTCAGTTTGTTGTTGCTTTGAGTGTGTGTGTGTGTGTGTGTGTGTGTGTGTGTGTGATTTCTCTCTGTTTGATGCAAATGGATGCAAGAAGCAGCAGTGTGTGATAATGGACTTGTTTGGATTGGGAAATGTTCACACACACACACACACACACACACACCTCTGTCTCTCTCTGTCTTTCTTTCTCTTTCTCTTTCTCTTCTCTCTATCCCTATCTCTCTCTCTCTCTCTGTCTCTCTCTCTCTCTTCCTCCCCCCTCTCTCACCCCCTCCCTCTTCCTCCCTCTCTCTCTTTTCTGTGGCTTGGTGCCAAATGCTGCACTACAAATATTTAGCCGTCTGGGCCGCATGATAATGAACGTGAGTTTCACACACACCTGGAGTGTGTGTTTGTGTGTGTGTGTGTGTGTGTGTGTGTGTGTGTGTGTGTGTTTGTGTTTGTGTGTGTGTGTGTGTGTGTGTGTGTGTACTGTGACTGAATTTTCAGGATTGGAGTGTTGATTTTTGGTGAAAGGAGAGGAAAAGAGAGAGATACAGAGAAGAACAAGAAGCAAGAGAGAAAGAAGAGGTGGGAAGAGTAGAGGAGAAGAGAGAGACTGAGCGGAGGATAAAAGAAAGAAAGAAAAATAAGAAAGAGAAAGTGAGAGGAAGAAAGACAGAGTGGAGAAAGAGAGGAAGAATAAAAGAAGCAATGAAAAGAAATAGAAGAGGAAGAAAAAAACAGAAAGAAAGAGGGATAAGGAAGCAGAGAGAGAGAGAGAGAGAAAGAGCGAGAGAGAGAGAGAGAGAGAGAGAGAGAGAGAAAGAGCGAGAGAGAGAGAGAGAGAGAGAGAGAGAGAGAGGATGTTTCGATTTTAATGGAGTTTGCTGTCTCAGACAGATGGATCATGAATACGGTCTAGACGGAGCGTCTGGGTGAGTCAGGGATGTCCCTGCAGCGCTGTAGAGGGGTCCTCTCACCACACACACACACACACACACACACACACACACACACACACACACACACACACACCCCACCCCCTCAGCACACACACACGCGCGGCTGATTCACAGCAGTGCGGGACGAGGGGCAGGATTTCCATGAAAAGCTTCTCAGACGCCTTCAGGTTTCCTCACTGACTCAGGAAGAGATTCTCTCAGCCTCAGTCAGCCGATACGGCACTGACAGAACTGACTGTGTGAATCAGAATCCGAATTATAGAATCACAGTCACTCAGAAACACCATCAGAATAACGTTCAGTATCACAGAAAGATTCAGAATCACAATTAGAACCAGACTCAGAATCAGATTAACATTTAGAATCAGAATCACCGTCATAATCTGAGTCACAGTCAGAATCATGTTATTGTTATCTACTTTATTGGTCCTACAAGGGAAATTTGTCATTTTGCTGCCTAACTATGCAGCACAGCATCGCGAGCAGAGCAGCGCCGCCTGGGGCGGTGGGGGGTTAAGTGCCTTGCCCAAGGGCACAACTAGGTGTACCCGGTCAGCAGTGGGATTTGAACCTGCAACCTTCCGGTTGATGGCTCACTTCTCCTACCACTAGGCTACCATGGTGAGAATTAGTCCACAGAATCACTGCGAGAATCAGAATCAAAATCAGAATCACTGTGTGACTCGGAATCAGAATCATAGTCTGAATCACAGTCAGAATAATTAGTCAGATTCAGAATCACAGTTATAATCTGAATCACAGTCATCATCTGAATCACAATCATAATCAGACTCAAAGTCCAAATCAGAATCAAAGTCATAATCAGAATCACAGTCCGAATCAGAATCACGGTTAGAATCAGAATCACAGTCTGAATCAGAATCACAGTCAGAATCAGAATCACGGTTAGAATCAGAATCACAGTCTGAATCAGAATCACAGTCTGAATCAGAATCATGATTAGAATCAGAATCACAGTCATAATTGGAATCACAGTCTGAATCCAACCATATAGTCAGAATCAGAATCATAGAATCAAAATCACAGGCAGAATCAGAATCAGTTCACACTCAGTTAGACTCAGAGTCAGAATCACAGTCATAACTAAAATCATAAACATAATAGGAATCAGAATCACAGACAGAATCAAATCACAATCAGATTTTTAGAGTCAGAATCACAATCACTGAATAAGAATCACAGTCTGTATCCGAATCAGTCAGATTAAGAATCACTGTCAGAATCAGAATCATAGTGAGAAATCTTTACATTTTACATCATTATTATTATTATTATTATTATTATTAGTAGTAGTAGTAGTATTATGACTGTAATGTCTGTATTTTCTTTAGTGCAGGGTTAGTTAAGGGTGTGTGTGTGTGTGTGTGTGTGTGTGTGTGTGTGTGTGAGAGAGAGAGTCCGATTTTGCATTCTACAGGTATGCAAATGAGGAAAGGGCAGAGGTCAGAGGGTTAAGAACGAGAGGTCAGTGTCATGAGACACTGTGTGGAATTTGACCTTGTATGTGTGTTGCATAATCAATATTCATCAATACTTTCGGCTACTTTACTGTCTCTTAGGATGACCGCTGCAGCATAGATTGACTGTCTGACCAAACCAGTCAGTTTTATTGATCGAGCCTGTGTTGTTTTCTCTTCATAGGCGGCTGTAAGATTATATTTAAGATTGTTTCTTGTTTTCATTTCAGTGTCTGCAAATAAATGTTGTCATCGATGTCTTCAAGTTGGTCCTCGAGGCTTCTGAACGGCTGGTTCACGATTCCTCTTATTGTCCCCATCCGTCTTCTTGCTGTCTGACCTCTTTACCTTTTAACTGTCTTTCTAATCGTCTTTTCTAATGAACTGGTTCTTCTCAGAATGTGTCCAAAATAAGAGCTTCAGTTTGGTCATCTGGACGTTGATGGTTCTTTAGTAAAGACAGTGGTTTATTGAACCATTAACACTCAAAGAACCATGTGCATGCCTAAATGGTTCTTTGTATGGTGAAATTGTTCTTCAGAATTGATGGAGAACCTTTTTGAAGATGGTTCTATATAGCACCAAAACAGCACCTTTAAACAAGTTGGTTCTTATGGGTTCTTTAGCAATGGTTCTATATAGAAGTGGTTAGGTGGTTGTTTCATGGCGAAATGGTTCTTCAGATTGATGGAGAATGTGCTGTATATGGTTCTATATAAAACCTTTTTGAAGATCTTATATATAGCACCACAAAGGGTTCTTCTTTTGCTTGACATCATAACAGTAGCAGAACCCTTTTTATTGCTATATAGAAACAAATAGTAAGCTTGTGGGCTGGACATTGAGCCAGAAGCATTTCTTTAATTATAGTTGCGTTAGAGATGGACATTGTGATTTAAGCTG